GTCTTCGACGAAACCATTGGAGAAGCCGTTGTTGACTAGGACCTGCCTTACCCTACAGAGTTCTTCGTCGACTTGCTTCCATTCTGAGCTGTGGCTGAGAGCACGGTCGACATATGCGTTAACAACACTCCTCTTGTACCTGTCTGGGCAGTCGCTGTTGGCATTTAGGCACATTCCTATGTTCGTTTCCTTAGTGTAGACTGCAGTGTGGAAACCTCCGCTCTTTTCCATGACTGTTACATCTAGAAAGGGCAGCTTCCCATCCTTTTCCATCTCGTAAGTGAAACGCAGCACGGAACTCTGCTCAAATGCCTCCTTCAGCTCCTGCAGATGTCTGACATCAGGTACCTGTGTAAAAATGTCGTCAACATACCTGCAGTATATGGCCGGTTTCAAGTTCATGTCGACTAAGACTTTTTGCTCGATGGTACCCATGTAGAAGTTTGCAAACAGGACACCTAGGGGAGAACCCATGGCGACCCCATCTACTTGCTTATACATGTGCCCATCCGGGCTCAAGAAGGGTGCCTCTTTAGTACAAGCTTGGAGTAGTTTCCTTAGAATATTTTCTGGTATGTCAAGAGGAGTACAGGCTGGATCACGATACACTCTGTCGGCTATCATCCCGATTGTCTCGTCCACAGGTACGTTGGTGAACAGCGATTCTACGTCCAACGAGGCTCTTATTCCTGTGGCCCGTGTGCCCCGCAGTAAGTCAACAAATTCCTTTGGCGACTTCAGGCTGAAGGCGCAAGGGACATAAGGAGTCAGCAGGCCGTTGAGTCGCTTCGCCAGTCTGTACGTGGGTGTGGGTATCTGGCTAATGATTGGCCGAAGTGGGTTTCCAGGCTTGTGTGTCTTGACATTTCCATACGCATATCCAGGTTTATATTCCCCAATGATCTTTGGCAGGTGGAGTCCGGATTTCTTGGCGTTCACAGTTTCGATCAGTTTGTTGACCTTTGCTTTCAATTCGGCTGTAGTGTCCTTCGTTACCCTTTGGAACTTAGTTTGGTCAGAGAGTATGAGGTTCATTTTCGCCAGATATTCGTCTTTTTTAAGAATGACATATATTGGCGACTTGTCACCTCTCCTGACAACTATCTCCTTGTTCTCACGAAGGCTTTTAGCTGCCGCTTTGAGCTCGGGGGACAGTATGGTGCTTCTGTAATTGCCTCGATTCTTTCCTCCTTCTGCAATAAGTTCTGCTTGTAAGGTATCTTTGGTAGTGACCTTCTTTTGTGTCTCGAGGTCGAATATGTCGTCCAACAGAATTTCCAACTCCACTTTCCGGGCCATCTCACTCGGTCTGGACATAACGTGACAGTTTATGCCCATATTTAGAAGAGTGACTTGGTCCTTAGTGAGGTTAATTCCTGCAAGGTTCAGGAAGCCATCTCTTGGTCGTGGAATTGCCATAGGTCCTCCATATAACGTTGTTAGTTTCTTGATAATCCTATAATCTTGATAACGATTATCAAGAAACTAATTATTAATTAAATATATTATTTAATAATATATATATATATATATATATATATATATATATATATATATATATATATATATATATTTATATATATATTTATATATATATTTATATATATATATATATATATATATATATATATATATATATATATATATATATATATATATATATATATATATATATATATATATATATATATATATATATATATATATATATATATATATATATATATATATATATATATATATATATATATATATATATATATATATATATATATGTCGTACCTAGTAGCCAGAACACGCTTCTCGGCCTACTATGCAAGGCCCGATTTGCTCAGTAAGCGAAGTTTTCCTGAATTAATATATTTTCTCAAATTATTTTCCTATGAAATGATAAAGCTACCCATTTCATTATGTATGAGGTCAATTTTTTTTTATTGGAGTTAAAATTAACGTAGATATATGACCGAACCTAACCAACCCTACCTAACCTAACCTAACCTATCTTTATAGGTTAGGTTAGGTTAGGTAGCCGAAAAAAGTTAGGTTAGGCTAGGTTAGGTAGGTTAGGTAGTCGAAAAACAATTAATTCATGAAAACTAGGCTTATTAGGCAAATCGGGCCTTGCATAGTAGGCTGAGAAGTGCGTTCTGGCTTCTAGGTACGACATATATATATATATATATATATATATATATATATATATATATATATATATATAGGGAAGGGAGTACCACCTCTAGCTGGAAGAAGGGGGACCCATAGCCTCGGAGGAAACCACGCATAACGCATTAGAGGGAATGTTTAGATCCCCTCCAATACAGTTTCTGTGTGCTTTACTCCTACCACCCCCTTCCTTGAATATTTTTTGTGCTTTATTATGCATTTGATGGTTACAAGATATACATGGGTTGATACAAAAATAATAATGCAAAAAGGTGCTTAAAGGTATATATATATACATACATATGTCGTACCTAGTAGGCAGAACGCACTTCTCAGCGTACTATGCAATTCCTGATTTGCCTAATAACCCAAGTTTTCATGAATTAATTGTTTTCCGACTACCTAACCTAACCTAACCTAACTTTTTCGACTACCTAACCTAACCTAACCTAACCTAACCTATAAAGATAGGTTAGGTTTGGTTAGGTAGGGTTGGTTAGGTTCGGTCATATATCTACGTTAATTTTAACTCCAATAAAAGAAATTGACCTCATACATAATGAAATGGGTAGCTTTATCATTTCATAAGAAAAAATTATAGAAAATATATTAATTCAGTAAAACTTGGCTTATTAGTCAAATCGGGCCTTGCATAGTAGCCCTAGAAGTGCATTCTGGCTACTAGGTACGACATATATATATATATATATATATATATATATATATATATATATATATATATATATATATATATATATATATATATATATATATATATATGTCGTACCTAGTAGCCAGAACTCACTTCTCAGCCTACTATGCAAGGCCCGATTTGCGTAATAAGCCAAGTTTTACAGAATTAATATATTTTCTCTAATTTTTTTCTTATGAAATGATAAAGCTACCCATTTCATTATGTATGAGGTCAATTTTTTTTTATTGGAGTTAAAGTTAACGTAGATATATGACCGAACCTAACCAACCCTACCTAACCTAACCTAACCTATCTTTATAGGTTAGGTTAGGTTAGGTAGCCGAAAACGTTAGGTTAGGTTAGGTTAGGTAGGTTAGGTAGTCGAAAAAACATTAATTCATGAAAACTAGGCTTATTTGGCAAATCGGGCCTTGCATAGTAGGCTGAGAAGTGAGTTCTGGCTACTAGGTACGACATATATATATATATATATATATATATATATATATATATATATATATATATATATATATATATATATATATATATATATATAATGTATATATAATGAAGTAAATTTGTAAATGAAGTAATGAAGTAAATCTAAATGTATGTTCGCAGCATTTCTGCCTATGTTGTGCTTAATGGTGATTGGAGGAGTCATCAGGCGCAATTGCTTAGGATCACAATTGATGGGGAGCTCGCTCAAGCGTCCCTTCTGGAGCGATCACTCTGGATTACCTCCGGCGGGACTAGGGCGGACCTTATCTGTAATTCATGAATACTGCCAACTGGTGATTAAGCCTGATCGTGAAGATAAACAAGACATGTCTGGCTCAATGGCTCAATGGGAACACTTAATAGAGGATCCAGTACACACCATAGAACACACCCTGGTACACATCCTGGTACAGTCACTGGTACAGTCACTGATACAGTCACTGATACAGTCACTGGTAAAAGTCACTGGTACACACCCTGGTACACACCCTGGTACAGACACTGGTACAGACACTGGTACAGTCACTGGTACAGTCACTGGTACAGTCACTGGTACAGTCACTGGTACAGACACTGGTACAGTCACTGGTACAGATACTGGTACAGATACTGGTACAGTCACTGGAACAGTCACTGGTTCAGATACCGGTACAGTCACTGGTACAGATATTGGTACATATACTGGTACAGACACTGGTACAGTCACTGGTACAGTCACTGATACATTCACTGGTACAGATATTGGTATATATAATGGTACACACCCTGGTACATTCACTGGGTCAGTCACTGGTACAGTCACTGGTACAGATACTGGTACAGTCACTGGTACAGTCACTGGTACAGACACTGGTACAGATACTGGTACATATACTGGTACAGTCACTGGTACAGTCACTGGTACAGATACTGGTACAGATACTGGTACAGTCACTGGTACAGACACTGGTACAGTCACTGGGTCAGTCACTGGTACAGTCACAGGTACAGATACAGATACAGTCACTGGTAAAGATACTGGTACAGATACTGGTACAGTCACTGGTACAGATACTGGTTCAGATACTGGTACAGTCACTGGTACAGATACTGGTACAGATGCTGGTACAGATAATGGTACACACCCTGGAACAGTCACTGGGTCAGTCACTGGTACAGATACTGGTACAGTCACTGGTACATATACTGGTACAGTCACTGGTACAGTCACTGGTACAGATACTGGTACAGATACTGGTACACACATTGGTACAGTCGCTGATACAGACACTGGTACAGATACTGGTACACACACTGGTACAGACACTGGTACACACACTGGTACAGACACTGGTACAGATATTGGTACAGACACTGGTACAGACACTGGTACAGTCACTGGTACAGATACTGGTACAGTCACTGGTACAGATACTGGTAAACACACTGGTACAGATACTGGTACACACACTGGTACACACACTGGTACAGACAGTGGTACAGACACTGGTACAGATATTGGTACACACACTGGTACAGACACTGGTACAGTCACTGGTACAGATACTGGTACAGTCACTGGTACAGATACTGGTACACACACTGGTACAGATACTGGTACACACACTGGTACACACACTGGTACAGTCACTGGTACACACACTTGTACAGTCACTGGTACAGATACTGGTACAGTCACTGGTACAGACTCTGGTACAGACACTGGTACAGTCACTGGTACAGTCACTGGTACAGTCACTGGTACAGATACTGGTACAGATACTGGTACAGTCACTGGTACAGTCACTGGTACAGTCACTGGGTCAGTCACTGGTACAGTCACTGGTACAGTCACTGGTACAGTCACTGGTAAAGATACTGGTACAGATACTGGTACAGTCACTGGTACAGTCACTGGTACAGATACTGGTACAGATACTGGTACAGACACTGGTACAGTCACTGGGTCAGTCACTGGTACAGTCACAGGTACAGTCACTGGTACAGATACTGGTACACACCCTGGTACAGTCGCTGGTACAAACACTGGTACAGATACAGATACAGTCACTGGTACAGATACTGGTACAGATACTGGTACAGTCACTGGTACAGATACTGGTACAGATACTGGTACAGTCAGTGGTACAGATACTGGTACAGATACTGGTACAGATAATGGTACACACCCTGGTACAGTCACTGGGTCAGTCACTGGTACAGATACTGGTACAATCACTGGTACAGACACTGGTACAGTCACTGGTACAGTCACTGGTACAGATACTGGTACAGATACTGGTACACACCCTGGTACAGTCGCTGATACAGACACTGGTACAGATACTGGTACACACACTGGTACAGACACTGGTACAGACACTGGTACAGACACTGGTACAGATATTGGTACAGACACTGGTACAGACACTGGTACAGTCACTGGTAATGATACTGGTACAGTCACTGGTACAGATACTGGTACACACACTGGTACAGATACTGGTACACACACTGGTACACACACTGGTACAGACACTGGTACAGACACTGGTACAGATATTGGTACACACACTGGTACAGACACTGGTACAGTCACTGGTACAGATACTGGTACAGTCACTGGTACAGATACTGGTACACACACTGGTACAGATACTGGTACACACACTGGTACACACACTGGTACAGTCACTGGTACACACACTGGTACAGTCACTGGTACAGATACTGGTACAGTCACTGGTACAGACACTGGTACAGACACTGGTACAGTCACTGGTACAGTCACTGGTACAGTCACTGGGTCAGTCACTGGTACAGTCACTGGTACAGATATTGGTACAGTCACTGGTACAGTCACTGGTACAGTCACTGGTAAAGATACTGGTACAGATACTGGTACAGATACTGGTACAGTCACTGGTACAGTCACTGGTACAGATACTGGTACAGATACTGGTACAGACACTGGTACAGTCACTGGGTCAGTCACTGGTACAGTCACTGATACAGACACTGGTACAGTCACTGGTACAGTCACTGGTACAGTCACTGGTACAGTCGCTGGTACAGTCACTGGTACAGTCACTGGTACAGATACTGGTACAGATACTGGTACAGACACTGGTACAGTCGCTGGTACAGACACTGGTACGGATACTGGTACAGTCACTGGTACAGATACTGGTACAGATACTGGTACAGTCACTGGTACAGATACTGGTACAGATACTGGTACAGTCACTGGTACAGATACTGGTACAGTCACTGGTACAGATACTGGTACAGATACTGGTACAGTCACTGGTACAGATACTGGTACAGATACTGGTACAGATACTGGTACAGATACTGGTACAGTCGCTGATACAGACACTGGTACAGATACTGGTACAGTCACTGGTACAGATACTGGTACAGATACTGGTACAGATACTGGTACACACACTGGTACATTCGCTGGTACAGACACTGGTACGGATACTGGTACAGTCACTGGTACAGATACTGGTACAGATACTGGTACACACACTGGTACAGTCGCTGATACAGACTCTGGTACAGATACTGGTACAGTCACTGGTACAGATACTGGTACAGACACTGGTACAGATAATGGTACAGTCATCTGAATAATAACATCTGAATAATCATTCAGAACCTTGTATACCACATACGAACTACCAGTACACACCCTGTTACAGTCGCTGATACAGACACTGGTACAGATACTGGTACACACACTGGTACAGTCGCTGATACAGACACTGGTACAGATAATGGTACAGTCACTGGTACAGATACTGGTACAGATACTGGTACACACCCTGGTACATTCGCTGATACAGACACTGGTACAGTCACTGGTACAGATACTGGTACAGACACTGGTACAGATACTGGTACACACACTGGTACAGTCGCTGGTACAGACACTGGTACGGATACTGGTACAGTCACTGGTACAGATACTGGTACAGATACTGGTACACACACTGGTACAGTCGCTGATACAGACACTGGTACAGATACTGGTACAGTCACTGGTACAGATACTGGTACAGACACTGGTACAAATAATGGTACACACACTGGTACAGACACTGGTACAGTCACTGGTACAGATACTGGTACAGTCACTGGTACAGTCACTGGTACAGATACTGGTACAGACAATGGTACAGATACTGGTAAAGTCACTAGTACACACACTGGTACAGACACTGGTACAGTCACTGGTACAGTCACTGGTACAGATATTGGTACAGTCACTGGTACAGTCACTGGTACAGTCACTGGTACAGATATTGGTACAGACACTGGTACAGACACTGGTACAGTCACTGGTACAGATATTGGTACAGTCACTGGTACAGTCACTGGTACAGTCACTGGTACAGACACTGGTACAGACACTGGTACAGTCACTGGTACAGATACTGGTACACACCCTGGTACAGATTCTGGTACATAAACTGGTACAGATACTGGTACAGACTCTGGTACAGATACTGGTACAGATACTGGTACACACCCTGGTACAGATTCTGGTACAGACTCTGGTACAGATACTGGTACACACCCTGGTACAGATTCTGGTACAGATACTGGTACAGATACTGGTACAGATACTGGTACAGATACTGGTACAGATAATGGTACACACCCTGGTACAGCTACTAGTACAGACACTGGTACAGATACTGATACAGATACTAGTATACACACTGGTACAGATAATGGTACAGACATTGATACAGACATTTTTTTATTATTATTATTTTCTACCACAGACGTGGATACACATTAACAATGCTAACCAGCATATATACATTTTCTTCTGTCCTCCATGGATAGGGTAAGATATTTGTTAAACATATAGTTCAGAGATTTATTGAACAATCAACCACAGAAAGGTGATTGCAGTGCTTTTAAAATGCTAGGCTATGCTACATTCGTAAATACATAGATACACAGATTTACTTATACCCTACATAAAGTGTTCGATGTGTCTTTTTCATAGTGTCATTAATGTGCATTTACAAAGAAGAAATGTAATTCTGATCAGCTTCCACATATACTTTATACACATACATATACACACAGAGGCAGAGGGCAGCAGCAGCAAGGAAGGAGCGCAAGGAGAGGGAAAGGGATCAGGGAACCTCAACTCAAAACCCTATGATCCCAGAAGGGAGTGGGGAACCCTCTACAGGCAATTCAACAGCCCCAGTGGGAGGAGGATCACACCCATCACCCCCCCTCCCCAATAGAAGCCCTACCTGCCCCAGCCCCTACACTCCTCCACCACCCTAAGCCCTCCCATCTCCCCCAAATTCTGCAAGCCCTCTTTCCTCCCCCTCTCCCCCAAGCCCTCCTTTCTCCCCAAGCCCTCCTTTCTCCCCCACCCCCCCAAGCCCTCACTTCACCCCTACCCTCTCCAAACCAGATCCTCCCAGCCCCCCCACAACCCAGGTCCCCCTCACTCTCAGCTCCCCTCACGACCCAGGGGCACCCCTTACCCCTCCCCATCCCAGACCTTCCATGTTTATCAACTCCAGGGGAATCAACAAAAACTGTGGATGGACAGAAAGGAGTCAGCTCCAAGGTGATGTACTCGAACATAGATGGGATTACAAGCAAGGCGAGTGAATTTAAGGAAAGAGCACAAGAAGTAAACCCAGATGTAATTGGAGTCACGGAAACAAAACTCTCATGAATCGTAACAAATCCGGAGTTCCCCCAGGATTACACTGAAATAGGGGAAGAGAGGGAGGGTAGGGGAGGAGGCAGATTGCCCCTACTCATGAGAAAGGAATGGAGTTTCAAGGAGATGGTTATTCCAGGCTGTGAAGGGTTTAGAGACTACATAACAGACACCATGACGATGGGAGAACCTAGAGTAGTAGTAGCAGTGATATATAACCCTCCCCCAAATGACAGAAGACCCAGGCAAGAATATGACAAACAACATGGCAGTTAATAACATAATTGAGACGGCAGCCTCTGCTGCCTGTAGAAATCGATCCCATCTGCTTATCATGGGGGACTTGAAACACGGAAGGATAGACTGGGAGAACAAGAAACCGCGTGGAGGAGAGGATACATGGAGAGCCAAACTAGTGGAGGTGGCGACAAGAAACTTTCTAAGCCAACATGCCAGGGAACCCACTAGGATGAGGGTTGAAACCAGCGATGAACCAGCAAAACTCGACATATTCTTCACTCTGAATGACTCTGACGTAAGGGTAATTGACTTCGAGGCCCCAGTAGGAATGAGCGATCACAGTGTACTGACGTTCGAGTATCTCGTCGAAGAAGGGCTAAAGTACTCGAGAAAGGGAAGTGAAAGCAAAAGGCTAGCATTCCGTAAGGGAAATTGCGAAGAGATAAGAAAATTCCTAACGGATATAACATGGGAATCAGAGCTAAGGAGAAAGACGGCCCAAGACATGATGGATTACATCACGCAGAAGTGCAAGGAGGCAGCAGAAAAGTTTATCCCGGTACAAAAGGTAAAAAAATGAAATGCAGATGAGAAACCCATGGTTTATTCAGAGATGTAAGCTCGCTAAACAAAGTAAAAGAACATGGAGAAACGATGGAAATAACAGGACACTTGAGAGCAGAGGTTACCAGAGAGCCAGGAATGAATATGTCTGGGTGAGAAGAGAGGCAGAAGGGCAATATGAAAACGACATAGCAAGCACGGCTAAGAACCAAACCAAATTGCTGCACAGCCACATCAGGAGAAAGACAACAGTGAAGGAACAGGTAATGAAACTGAGGATAAGGGCAGACAGATTCACTACAAACGACAAAGAAGTGTGTGAGGAACTCAATATGATATTCCAGGAATTCTTCACATTAGAGCAAAGAGAAATTACAGAGATAAGAGAAGGAATAATTAACCACAAGAAGCACCACAAGAGGAATTTGAGATTCCCAGTGGAGATGTAAGGAAGCTTTTGATAGAATTGAATGTAACAAAGGCTATAGGCTCAGATGGAATATCACCATATATACTAAAGGAAGGAGCAGAAGTACTGTTCCTGCCACTCTCCATGGTGTATACAAAATCACTGGTAACAGGTGAACTGTCAGAAATTTGGAAGGCGACAAACGTGGTCCTGATATACAAGAAGGGGGATAGACAGGAGACACTGAACTTCAGGCCAGTGGTCCTAACTTGCATACCATGCAAGCTAATGGAGAAAATTGTGGGAAAAAAGCTAGTCTAACATCTGGAGCGAAGGAACTTTGTGTCACAACACCAACATGGTTTCAGGGATGGCAAGTCATGCCTCACAGGATTAATTGAATTCTATAATCAGGCAACAAGAATCAGACAAGAAAGAGTGGAGAGGGCAGACTGCATATTTTTGGATTGCCAGAAAGCCTTTGACACAGTGCCACACCAGAGACTAGTGCGAAAGGTGGAGATGCAGGCAGGAGTGAAAGGGAAGGTACTCCCTTGGATAAGGGAGTACCTAAGTAACAAACGGCAGCGAGTCTTATATTTCTAAATGATCTTCCAGATGGTACAGAATCATCCTCTCATTATTTGCTGATGATGCAAAAATTATGAGGAGGATTAAGACAGAGGAAGATAGTATGAGACTACAAGATGACTTAGACAGACTGCATGAATGGTCCAACAAATGGCTACTAAAGTTCAACCCGAGTTAATGTAAGGTAATGAAACAAGGCCATGGAAACAGGAGGCCAGACACAGGATACAGAATGGGAGATGAAGTCCTTCATGAAATGTACAGATAGAAGGATCTAGGAGTTGATATCACACAACCCTGTCTCCTGAAGCCCACATCAAAAGAATAACATCTGAATAATCATTCAGAACCTTGTATACCACATACGAACTACCAATCCTGGAGTATGCGGCCCCAGCATGTAGCCCGTACCAGGTCAAGCACAAGGCGAAGCTTGAAAAAGTTTAGAGATATGTCACTAGGCTAGTCCCAGAACTAAGAGGCATGTGTTACAAAGAAAGGCTGTGAGATATGCACCTCATGACACTAGAAGACAGAAGAGTAAGGGGAGACATGATCATTATCTATAAAATTCTCAGAGGAATTGACAGGGTAGAAAAAGATAAACTGTTTAACACGAGTTGTAGGCAAAAAAGGGGACACAGTTGGAAACTGAGTACCCAAATGAGCCACAAAGACGTGGCTCATATGGGTACTCAGTACCCAAGTACTCAATAAAGTGTTAAACACTTAACACTTTGCTAAGGGCGTCATAATAATTTGTTCTGATGCATTGAGAACCGCAGAGGCTGTCCACTACTCTCACTCAGCCTCTTAGAGTTAAAAAAACGCACATGGTCGGTTTTGAGCTTTGCTAGAGGTCAAAGGACCTCTAGCAAGTTCTCCCTCTGTCAGACCTTCATCTGATAAAATGAGGATGCCAGCCCGTTACACCCTCGCTGACCAGAGGATGGGAGGTAATGACCAGTTTTGGTCACACACACACACTCCCTCCTACTAACTCCACTCCACATCCGGTGCCAGCCACCCCCTGCTCCAAGTCTCTCGCCATCACCTGTCGCTAATCTGGTTTTTCCTAAAGGGCTGTTCTTGGCAAAAGTCCTAGTAATATTTTATGTACATTATGTAGATCACAGAGAGAGGGGGTAACCCCATCTCACATTGCCATGAAAAAAGTTCGTTTTGTATTAGAAACAGTACATTTTGTTTATCATTTAAAGAGAGGTGCAAACTTAATTTTTTAGTTTCCACAAAAAGACAAACCAGCCAGTGTCACAGGAGTTGGGCTGGGGCTCCGCTAGGAAGGGGCTGCTAGGGGCTCAGGAGACAGTACTCAGTCTCTCCGATCATGTGACTCCCCAGTGTCACTTGGTCCCACAGGAGAGGACCAGTAATACCCACCACTGCAGGCCTTTGCCCCCCACCACTGGGGGTGCCACTGATTCACCCTGGGAGCCCTTCAGTCAACCACGGGGAAACTGCTATTAGCAATTCCGGCCTAGACCTGTGGAGAAGTGAAGGCTTACCTTATAACAATGACTTACCCTGAGTCTTGCTTGCCAGACAAAAAGTTGCCGGAATTTCTTCCCTGCCTACCTTCTCTATCTCAATTTTAACAAGGTTGCCTCCACGATCATCCATTTCTTTCTCTCTCGCTTTCAGGAAAGAGTTGTTGAGGGGCCCCAGCTGTCCTGCACAAAACACCCACAATAAAGGAAGACTATAATTAACTTGTGTTCTTTGGAGGGTACCTATTCAACTAAAAAAAATAATTCCAGTTGGCAATGCAATAATCATTGTAGCAGAAGTAAAATAAGCACGAGTATCTACATCCATACCTATCGTAAACATTTGATAAGCTCACACAACAAATCCCAAAATACCAATAGCAATTATTTCATAAATTATCCCTAATGTCCCAAAGCCTTTTTTTTATCCGATTCCTGAACTACAATATGAGAAACCATTCCAAAAGCAGGTAAAATTAAAATATACACTTCAGGATGCCCAAAAAATCTAAATAAATGTTGATAAAGAAGAGGGTCCCCCCCCCCCTTCCTCCTGCAGGATCAAAAAAAGAGATATTATGATTATGATCCATTAATAATATAGTAATCGCCCTTGTTAACACAGGTAAAGATAGTAATAATAAAACAGTATTAATAAATTCATATCAAGCAAATAATGGCATGCGATCCATAGTTATACCCACTGTCCTATGGTATACCCACTGTCCTATGG